CATACACATATATATGAATCAAAAATTTGAATTATCCCTTTTAAAGCTGTTTTCCTCTGTGTGTCTGGTTGGTCAATACATCCTCAATTCACATAAAAACTACTTCGTCTGAATGAAAAAATCAATATTTTGATTGTGTTTTTATGACAAAATTTGTCATTAGGTTTTGACAGCATGTTCTAATATTGTTTTTTCCCCCCAGATAAATGTTGACTAATAACAGCCTTTTTCATCCAGTCCCGCAGACAGCTCCAACACAGCAGGACGCCTCAGTGCAATTATTGAATCCACTGTTTGACTTTTTTAAATGCAATACCACATTTTGTCACTTGATCCATCGTTTCAAAAATAAGACCAAGWAAATGTTTGAATGCTGGAAAAATAGCTGTTAAAGTAAAGGCCCTGTCACACTAGACAACTTATACCAACTTTTTAAAGACGTTTACATTGATGATGGAATTGAAAAAAATCAACAGGAAGCTTCTTTTCAAACTGATCAATTATATAACTTTTATTTGCAATTTAGACATAAAAATGTTTAATAAGTTGGCATAAGTTGTCTAGTGTGACAGGGCCTTAAAACAGGACAACTGCTGACAAATATCTTTGCTTGTTGTACTATCTACATTTGTCTTTTTATTGCATAAGGCATCTGGAATAATCTCTTGTTGTAGTGATGTTGTGCACTGCAGCTATAGGAGATGGTGGAGAGAACAGGATGAGCAAATTAAACTGATCACTGGGGAGATGCTGCTGGTTGCAAAACAAAATGCTTTATTAAAATCAAGCTCTGCTCAAAACTGTTGTTTCTTGTTTACAAGATGGGAAACAAATAAACGGAAAAACAAAAATGAATTTTGYTGAAGTAAAGACCATTATTACAAGTAATCATGTTTCTATTTTAAAATGGTGCCATGAGCAGCCAGGTTAGATCTTTACCACTTTTCCTAAAGACTGATCTGCTGGTTATGCAGATTGCCATCATGAACATAAAACACAGGGAACAAGTAAATTAAAYAAAAGTTTACTTGTTGTTGATGTAAATAATTTGTCATTTGCTGAACTCAGTTTTGTGTCTTTACAGTGATTACGCCACCTAATATTTTTGAACATTTTGTTCTCGGCCTAACTGTTTTCTGTTGACCTTTTTAGGTTAGACATCAGTAGATAATTATCTTTGTTTTGTACATTCACATTGAACATTAACAAATTGTCCTTTTTGGTTTTATTTTTCTGTATAACTCAGTGCAGGGGCCAGCTGCAGATTTATCTCAGCAAACAGAGCTGCCTAATGTAAAAAGGTCATTTTCTTTTGTTTACATGCAGTCCCTGTGATAGACTTGCGACCTGAGACCGCTGGATTTGGGCACCAATGACCCCCGTGACCCTGAAAAGAAGAAGCGGGTTAAGATAAAGGATGGATAGTTATGTGCATGTAATGAAAAAGCATTTTGTTTTTTCTTTGTTTTTTTTTTTTGTTTGTTTGTTTCTCATTTCTGCTTGTTCCAACACACTGAATTTTCTTGAAAAGTTAACATGCTGTTAAAAGCTTTTATTTCCCCCTGGAATAAACTGTCCTTGATTTGTTAATGCTCAGAATATGTCCTTTTTGTAACTTGAAAATTTAAAAGAAAACTAGATGAAGTTTTGTTAAATTTGGTAAAGGTGGGATTTCTTGTGAAATACGGTTTCCTGGTGACACAATCTTTAACATATTATTGATATATTTCTGCACAGTTACTGAAAACTGCAAATCATCCAAAACTCTTGTTTCTCACCAGCTCACTTCAGTTACTCACTTCCTTATAATTATTTGTGTGAATGCCATTAAGACATCATGTTTCTCTTTATTCTTTCAATAATAATACTATTCAAGTTTCTTCTGTACGTTTTTTTTTGGTATGTATATATATTGAGCTAAAAATGTATATATTGGTAGCTGAGACTTAGCTCTACAATAAATACCAGCCAAAATAAAAAATCCACGATGGCCACCAAAGCTAGTTTTAAAGGCCTTTTACTCAGCCACTGTTTGAGATATTGACATGAAAACTGATGTACTGGTAGCTGAGAGCAAGCTCTATCACATATTGAAGCCCCACAATAAAATTCCACAATTGTATCCAAAGCTATTTTGGCTGCTATTACCCATTGGAAATGAATGTAGCTTTTTTCAACATCCTTAAATCTATTCATAATCCTTCTAAATCTTTACAGAACCTTACACGTTATATTCTGGTTTTGCTCCTATTAAATTCCCTGTGACAATTTAGGTACTTTCTTCTTAGTTTTAGCTTTTTTCAGATATTTCAACTAAAATTCTTCTTCCTTCTTCTATTCTTCTGCTTTTTTAGCGTTTTTGTGCTTCTTTCTGCTAGTTTGAGTTATTTATGCTTCTTATAGTTGCTTTCTGCAATATTCAGCTATTTTAGCCTTTAGCTTTTAGATTTTTATGCTATTTCAGCTTTATTTTTGCTCCTTCTTCCTGCCTTTCTGCATTTTTCTTGCTTTGTTCAGCTTTTCAAGTMTAACTRACAATAKTACTTTTGCTATTGAACATTTTCAGCTCAATTTCAGCAGCTTTCAGCTAAAGTTTTCAGCAACAGGCATTCACACTAGCATTTTCYCAGGAAATGCAATTTRTKTAGTTATGGATTGTTTTTAGTGTTTATGACTCTACCTRATAGGGCAGCAGTGAAAAATCAAGCTGCCAGATGAGAGTATAATAATGGGTGTCCTGGTAACACAACGTTGTTACTCTGACAACCRCAAAGTCTGGTGCATTTTTTAATTGACAAACCGTAAACACCTGCAGATGTTAGATGTCTGACTTCATCATTTGTTTTGTGCCGAGGCCAGATCCAGGGACGCTTTGAGGTTGGCATTAAGGTCCTTGAAGCCCCTGCTGTTGAGTCATTCATGCCGCCAAGAAACTGTCACATTTTGCCTGAGCCAATAGACTTCCTTTCGGCTGATTAATTACTGTGTGTGAGAGGTTATCCTATAATAATCACTGTCAGGTCACCCAGACAAAGAAACTACCAGAGCAAGTCCCTTAATCAGCAGAGACAGCGACCATTGTTCAGCAAACTGTACCCATGACAAAATGTGACACAAAATACTGTAGTACAAGAAGTAGTTTGTAAAATTCTACAACCTCAATTCCAAAAACACTGAGATATTGTGTAAACTGTATWAGAAAATAYAATGCAATGATTTGCAAATCTAAAACAGTTTTTATTCTTAAGCACTGGAGGAACTGGCACCACCACAAGAAATGCCTCACTCCTTCTCACCCATAACAGCAGATTAATGACCTGSAATTCTGGTGTTTCATGATGTATCAAATGATTTCAGTTGGTGAGATTTGTGGACTGCAGGTGGACCAGTTCAGCACCAACTCCTCTAAGACATGCTGTAGACGCCTTGTATGGTTTAGCATTGTTCCTGAGAAACACAGTCAAACGTGTTCTGAAAGCTGTGAGACCGGGGCTGATTGAACATGGAGAGGGCAATGCTTTTATGAGAATCGTTGTCTTCTAATAAAGATGAAAAAATGTTTTGTTTTATTATAAGCTGAGGGAGTTTAGATGGCCAGTTAATCTGGACAACTCATTACAACATATTTTTAAAAATTGGTTCTTTTTGATGCTAAATACTTCAAGTTTGAGAATGACTAATATTAAA